TGCGAAAACGAATTTCTTACTACACATTATAAGGTCTCAAAACTGATTCTGATTCTACCGCTCATCAGTCAAGGCCGTCTCAACATAACGAAACAATATCGTCATCCACAGCGCGAGTTGGCATCGGAACGTAAGAGAAAGTCCTTGCGTGTATCGCTATATCGTTATATCGTCTTCTTCACTTGACGGCTTAAATCAGATTTCTGATGTATCGCTTGGAATGAAAGTTGCTGTATCGGTCTGCCGATATAGGCGTTAAATCGATATGTCGCGATATATCGATTTATAGCCCAGTCCTAATTATAATACATTTTTAACATTTTCTAATTTTTAAAGCATTGAATATTTTTGCTGCATTATCCAGTGTTTTCACTACAGCGCGAGAATCTCGCATATTTTTTTCTTTTCTCGCATTAAAAAATTATTACCGCGAGAAATTTGCGCATTCTATAAATCAATTTCAAAATTCGCGAATTTCTCGCATTTTGGAAAAAGCTTCAAATTACGCCATTTAGTATAAAATCCGTTTCACTTTTCTTCCTGGATCTTTCATTATTTTCAACATCTGCCCCATTATCTAGCTTCCTTATTTACCAGAATTGTTCAGAACCTTTTCGAACAACGGAACACAACCACGGAACCCCTTTCGGAACACATTTCTCTGCAACCACGCGTTTACCGTAGGTAAGGTTTCTTCATGTAAGACGCTCGAATTTTTTATCCACTTATGTAAGATGGACAAATACCTTGTAAAGGCAAAATCTTCTATGATGATGCACCAAAAATATTCAATGCTTTAAAAAATAGAAGACATTAAAAATGTATTATAATTAAAGAAAGGATTTTTTTTCCAAGAGTTTTTGTGTTTTTTTAGTTTTTAGAAATCTCACTTAACTTTTTGAAATCTCACCCTGTTTTTGAGAAAGGGTGAGAAATTCTCACCCATTTTTTTTCTATAATGAAAATACTGCATTATCATATGGAAAAGGTTCTATATCTACTTTTTCATCAGCTATTCTCATTAGGTTGCTCAAATGTTTATCAGTCAATCTGTTGCGATATTTTGTCTTAATACAGTTTTGGGTGCTGAATGACCTTGCAACAGATGCTGAACTATTCGAAATCACTAAGTAAATTTGCAGCATTGAGCGCACACTTTCCTATCCTCTACATCTGCCAGCATAAGCTTTTCAATTATTTCTGCTATAGAATAATGAAGTTCGTTGAAGTTATTTCCATGTTCATACTTCATGCTAGGTCTTCCAGCATAGTTTTCACAGCCCTCAACTTTTACAAATTGCTGTAAATTGTCGATTAAGGAGTTTGGTAATTCATTAAAAGCTAAAAATAGAGCTAATTTTAAATAACTTATTATAAAGGACAAATTTTTTTTTCAAGTGATTTTTTATTTATCTAAAAAAATATCCGTAATTGTTTCGTTTTGACCATTTCTATCGACATTTGTTTCATTTTTATTTGTCCGTTACGGAGTAGGAAATGTTGCCTTAACAAGGTATTTGTCCGTCTTACATTCATGTACAAAAAATTTTAACGTCTTACATGAAGAAACCTTACTTACAGTGAATACGTGGTTGCAGAGAAATGTGTTTTGAAAGTGGTTCGGTGGTTCGGGTGGTGTTCCGCTGTTCGCACCGGTTCTGAACAATACTTGTAAATAGGAAATCTAGATAACAAGGACCAATGTTAAAAATAATGAAAGATCAAGGAAGAAAGTGAAATGGATTTTATTTAAAATGGCAAAAGACGAAATTTTTTTCCAAAACTCACGAGATTCGCCACTTTGAAATTGATTTATAGACTGCGAGAACTTCTCGCATTAATTATTTTTTAATGCGAGAAAAGAAAAAAAAAATTCAATATTCTCGAGCTGTAGTGAAAGCACTGAAAATGTAGCGACCATGGATGGGTGTTAAATGGAAAATAAGTTTACATGTTAATTTTTTATTGTTCTAAATGTGACCTGGAAAATGCTTGTTCATTTGGAAAAGGTGAAAATGTGTAGGGTTTGAAAAAACTCTCGCTTTAACAAAAACTTTACACTTGACTTTCATTTCAGTTAAGGTTGTGATTAAATTCAGTTTAACGAAAACTGTAATAGTACACTAAAGGAAAGAGAGTTGTAGCTACACTACAACAGAGTGATAATTTTTTAAGGGTGAACTGAAGGTAATCAATACACATTATTTGATTCATAGTTAACTTGTTATTTTTTTATAATTATTAAATTTTTATTAGATGGGCCTGGGTTCGCTGTTCATTTCCATATCTTATGATATTTTGCACTTTTCTTTATGTCAATTATTTAAAAATTTATTTTGTATTTTAATTAACAATTTCTTTCACTTTAGGTGTAGAGCAAGATGCTATATCAATCTTTTCAAAGTTCATTGACTTAGATGCACCTTCTCCTATTGATGTTTCTAATGATCTTAGAGAAGCAATAAAAAGTAAAATATAATTTTTACTTAAATTCCAATAATTTATTTTATATTTGACACTTATTTTAATTTGAGTTTCCGTTAATGTTTGAATGACTGTTTTTTTTTAAATTTCATTATTTTATTCATAACGAGTTTTAGAAAATTTATTCAATTTCTGATCGGAGAAAATGTTTTATTATACAATATTGAATTGAAATATTTAATTTCATTCTTGTGTTATGATTAAAAATGTTAAGATATTTAAAGAAGTTCTGTTTGTATTAAGAAAGGCAAACAGTTTAAAAGCGAGAATGAAAATAGCTTTGCACAGCATATATATTTGATGTGTATATGCTTTCAAATCTAATTATGATATATGAATATGATCTTTAAACTTTCTTTTTCTTACCTTATTTTTTAATTATTCCTTAACCTTATTAAAAATATGCATTTTTTTTTCCTTAAGTGACCATTAAAAAACATACAGTCATTGTCTTAAGTATATTTTACTGATATTTTCTTATTTAAAAATTTCTATTTTTGGTTTAAAAGCGAGAATCAAAATAGATTTGCACAGCATATATATTTGATGTGTATATGCTTTCAAATCTAATTATGATATAAAGTCATTAAACTTTCTTTTTCTTATCTTATTTTTTAATTGTTCCTTAACCTTATTAAAAATATGCATTTTTTTTTTCTTAACTGACCATTAAAAAACATACAGTCATTGTCTTAAGTATATTTTACTGATATTTTCTTATTTAAAAATTTCTATTTTTGGTTTAAAAGCGAGAATTAAAATAGCTTTGCACAACATATATATTTGCTGTGTATATGCTTTCAAATCTAATTATGATATAAAATCTTTTAACTTTCTTTTCTTACCTTATTTTATAATTGTTCCTTAACCTTATTAAAAATATGCATTTTACATTTCTTTCTTAACTAACCATTAAAAGACATACAGTCATTGTCTTAAGTATATTTCACTGATATTTTCTTATTTAAAAATTTCTATTTTTGTAGATAATATATTATCAACAGAAATTGATACAGAATGCTTTGTTCCGGCCCAAAGATTTGTTGTCAAAAAAATGGCAAAGGAGTAAGATTTGTTTATTTTTTTTATTATAATAATTTTTTTGTATTTGTGCTGTTTATGAAACATAATTGATTAAAAAAAAATCTAAGTTAATCTCAAAATAAGAAATATTATTTCTTTGAAAAAATGTTTTGAAAGCAATAAAGCACCAAAATTTAATATTGATATCATACTTATTATTTATATAAATTTGTATTACACTATCTTTTACTAGAAAAACTATATTATTGTTATTTCTTAGTTATTATAAGTATTAGTTAGTAAAAATCATGAAAAATTAAATCTTTAAACAGTTATAATTAAAATCACTTTATAGGATGTGAGTGATGTGGGGAAGAAGGCACTCAAAATGCCTGTGATGAATACATGCCCTTTATGGCCAAATAATTCATGTTCAGCCTAGTTTGTAATTAACAATAATATATTCTTAGTAATGCCTCAAGCAATTTTTTTTTTTAATTGGTGTAACATTTCACTTTAAATTGTTTATAAAGTTACATAAAAATTTAGATTTTTTTTAAACTTACTGCATTTTCTCATGTCAACACCCTCTGACTTCTTCAACTCTTAGTTGAAGGTTTTTTCTTATTATCAGGGTATCCGCGCACTTGGAAAGTCATGAAAAATCATGGAAAGTCATGAATTTCAGTATTGAACAAAATTTGTCATGAAATGTCATGATTTTTACTATTTTTTTAAAAAAAGTCATGGATTTTGGTCTTCGAAAAATCTAATTTTTAAAATGGATTTCCCCCCTCCCCCCAATCCTGTTCCAAATATCTGAATTTCTAACAAAATCACCACTCAGTCATATTTTATTAGAATATAAAATTATCTTATTGTGTTCTTTAAAAATTATGGTGTTCTTTAAAAAAATTAAAGGAAAAATATCATTTCTAGAGCAAGTTATCTTTTAAAATCTCTTTAAGATATTTTTAAGATTTTTTTTTTTTTAATTTTATCAATTTAAAATTCTAGTTGAAGCAAACCAGTCATTGGTGAATTTTTTTTTATTCCGAAATGAGAACAGAAAAATCAGGGATATTTCATTCCTTTCTGATGAACAAGAAAAGTATCTTTAGAATATAATTCTGCAGGAAAAAAATTATTTGCTTTTGTATTTTTTTCAGCTATTTTATTGATTCAGCTCTTTTTTTGCTCTGTTTTTTAAATTTAAAATCAATAAATATGAAGATACAGAGTATAACAGTTTTGGTTATACTTATCATTTCAATGAATGTTATTATAATGCTTTTTTAAATTTATTGTTGTGTTTGTAATAGTATAGTTTAAAAATAGTAACTTCGTTAAGTCATGAAAAATTCTTTGAATTAATCATGGAAAGTCATGAATTTGAAAATCAAAAATGTAGCAAATACCCTGTATTATGGTGTCTAATTTGAAGCTTAATCATTTGAATAAAAATGTCTAACCGTAATCTCAATGAACTAATTTCAAAATATGCATAGAATACCTGATAATTATGTAAAATTTTAAACACTTTTACTTCATAAATTGTTAATTCGCGACCATTCTGAATATTATGAGGGACTAGAATTTTTACTTTTATTTTAATTCTTGGTTACGAAAAGATGTGTACTCTCTATTATCATTTTATAAATACAATAATTTATTATTTGCAGATTTTATCCTATATTTTTACGAAGTAGCTTCCACTGCAAACACCAAATCGATGTTTTGACCAGTGGAAATGTTTATTTAGCTGATGTTCTTTACAATGACTCTGCTCTATTCTTTTTTATGGAGGTAACATCTAATATTAATTTTCTTGTTTTTGTTTAAGGAAAAATAAATAAATAAAAATCTGACCATTATTCTTCTGTAAATCTCTTATTCACTATATCTTTATTCAGTATATTTTTTTGAAAACATTCGTTACAGAAAACGTTCAAATTTACTTCCAATAACTTTAAAATAATGAAATAGTTCCTCGTAATGACATCTTGGTATGACGTATATATGATAATTTCCTGTGTTTGTAAAAGTTGTTTCTTCTTTAATCAACCATTCCCATTGAGATCATTAATTTTGGAAATTTTCATATTTGATTTTTTTCAGTAGTCAACTTATGGGCTGATATACCACGAAATTGTTAACTCATAATCAAAAACAGTGAGTTGACTTATACTTCAGGATGTATTGTATTTATTTATTGTTTGCTTTATATAGCTAATTTTGCAAATGGAAATGTTCATCAATTGAATGGTAAATTTCATTTATTTTATCGATAAAATTAGTTTCTTTCTTTGGAAACTTTACTATATTTAATTTATTAGTTGTTAACATTCTTAGAATGAAGTATACAATTTTTTATGTTTGTAAATTAGTTTTAAATTTTTTTTTCTTCTAAATTTTAAAGTTTAAGGGAGAGAAATCCATTATGTGTAATTTTCAGGAAATAGTAATTACAACGGTGTGCATGTTCATATCGCTCAAAGTTTTTTTTTTTGTTAGACAAAATGAATAAATCTGTATAAATTAAAATGTTGTATTATTTTTATTTAAAAAATCAGATTTTTAAATCTTGAATATGTCTAAAATTAAGAAATGACTAAAAGTGCTGCTAAAAACTCATGCTGTCTCTGCATTTTCAATTTAATTATTCTTTATTATTTTTTTTAAATACTTCTTGCCAAATAAACTGTAAATTTATTTAATATGATAAATATTCCTTTTTAGTTCATGGAACAAGAAGGGGTGAGACATTTGGTTGATTTTTTATTAATGGCAGATAATTTTCAAAAACATTTACGTTCTCAAAAAGAAGGTTATGATGGCATGCAAGCTCAGACTGATGCTATGGTTATATATGATAAGTAAGTGTATTTTTTTTAAATCAAAACTTTAGACATTAATTTTGTTGTCTTTTAAGTGTAAGTAAGATATAATAATAAAATCTTGGAGAAATTTATTAACTGGACAGACTTTATTTAACTGGGACATTTTTACATTCAACTATTTAGCATTGTAATTTCTCAAATTCCCTGATTTCCACTTAAACCACACAATCCATAGAAACATCTTATTGACTACATAGAAATAATGGTTTTCTTTTTTTCTTCTTTTTTTTTACCGCAAAGCATTTTACAGAAATTTGAGATTGTAGCTTATTATTATATTGCCTTAAACCCTTTTAATGCTTTTTGGTTAAAAGACTTCTTCTTTTGTTTGTATTGGGCAGAATTTGCTCTTTAAAAATGTAATAGTTAGGATGCTAATATAGGAATTTTTTTTCTTGATTATTTAAGTTAATACTATTATTTTTAAAATGTATAAGCTCTTTAAGACTATTTACCAGCCATACTGGAGATAATATTCTGCGATGTTTTACATGCCATTATTTTTTCCCACGCTATATTTTCATTGAGTAAGGCAGGGTGCATTTTTTGTTGTTAAAAAGTTTTCAGATTAAAGTTCAGAAAAAACTAGGACTAATAAGCATAAGGGGTTTAATTTTTTTAGATGTTAATAAAATTTCTTTAACAATATGAATTTGAAAGCTGATCAGTCTGTGTAGGGGTCAAGGAACTAGCCTTGCATCAGAAACGTTCTGGGTTCGAATCCTGAGCAAGGCATGAATGTTCTTTCATTCTTTGTACTATCTGTCCTTACTTTGGAAGCAACATTGGTCCACCTAATATGGTCCCTCTAAAAGAGTGGCCAACAAATCTGCCCTTTAGATGCCTGTATTACGAAAGGTTGTTCTCCAGGTGGTCATTGAAAAAAAAAATATGTATGTAAATTTAGAATGTGTAAATTTATTTATCATGTTTGTAGTCAAGGTAAACAAAAAATTTTGTAGTTGCAATTCAGAGTTTGGCAAACACTTGATTCATCGAATCAAACTTAGCACTATGAATAATTTTTTAATAAACTAACCCTGCATAGATGTTCTATTACACCTGTATTGATTATAAGAATTTTAAAAAAAAACTTACTTACTCTGATTTGATCTGTCCTTGAGCATAAATTATTTCAATGATGATAAATAAACTTCGATGGCTTTTGTTTTAAGATTCTTTATGTGCCAAATATCCATTAATTAGTCTAAAATAATAAATACAAATAATAAGTTAATAAGTTGTAGTTTTACTTGTTTGCAGGATATATATATACTGTGTTCTCCCTAAATGTTTTTAAAAGAATGGCCCTCTCTGCCTGTTTTTTTACAGAAGTAAATTCACCCTCCTCGCCCTTTTTGTAAAAATGTCCCTCCTAATTTTTTTAGAAAAATTTTTCTTTTTTTATTTTAAGATAAGAAATTGCAGTTGTAGACACCAGAAAGTGCAGATTACCATGAGTACTTCAAATTATTTATACGCTAAATTTATTTAAAATATTATTTCTCCCTTTTATTTGAATATTTTGAACTCAGTTTTTAAGCGCACTAGATATAATTTTCAAGATCAGTTCTTCTCAAAACTGTAAAGGCCTTTGTTTTTGAAAAAGTGCCCTGCCCTTTTCTATTTTTAGGTAGATCTCTAGATCTGTATACGTCTATTTTAAGTGTTGAAATATTTAATTTTGTATTGTTGTAAATAGCATAAAAAGCCTTTTTTAAATTATAGATAGCAGCTCTTAAACAGGATAGGGATGTTTTTGACTATAATTAACTCAGTAAGAAAGAAAATAAAACAAGATAGAAAGAATAATTTGTTTTAAAAGGCTGTAATTGGAACCCGTTTTAATTCTAGTAAATTTGTGTACCCAAGTTAAATTGTTTGTGACTTTGCAGATCAAACAAATTATACAATTTTTATACAATCATGTTTAAGATGTTAATTATCAGTTTTAAACTCGATATCAGTTTTTTAGTAAATATGTCTTTGTGATTTTTAGGTATTTTTCATTGCAAGCAACAATACCATTAGGTTTCAGTGACGCAATACGCTTTGAGGTGGAAATGAACATTTGCGGAGAAGAGGGTCCAAATCCAGACTGTTTTTTAAAGCCTGTAAAAATTCTCACTCAATACCTAGAAAAGGTTAATAATATTTTACATTTTAAGTTCGTCATAGTTTTTTTCTTATTTAATATGTATGATTTATAAATATTCTTTTTTTCCAGACCTATCTTTTGCAATTTCTTAATAGCCAATTATATTTCAAGTATATATCTGAATGCATTATTATAATTCAAAATGATGGAACTGATAATTTACCTCGACAGAAGTACACTGGTAAGTAATGAATCTAATTATTCCTCTTATTTTCAATAATGTAAGTATTTGGATTCAATGTATCATTTTATCTCTCTCTTATATTTTATTTATTTATAATATTGATTTTTTTGTAATTGTTGTTATTCAGGGATGAGTTTTTCAATTGTTCGACAGAGTTCCGCGCTTTTGTAACACTTTTTTTTTACCTATACTAGCGTTTCTCAAAATTATATTCACAGACTTTAAAATTATACTGTGATCCGGGTCTAGTTCATTTCATCGACAATCACTTCATCGACAGGCCATTTCATCGACACCACTTCATCGACAGGCCGTTCCCTCGACAGGGTCATTTTGTCGACAGGGTCATTTCGTCGACAGGGTCGTTTCGTCGACAGGGTCGTTTCGTCGACAGGGTCGTTTCGTCGACAAGTCAATTCATCGACAAGGTCGTTTCATCGACAGGGTGATTTCGTCGTCAGGATCATTTCAACGACAGGGTCATTTCGTCGACAGGGTCATTTCGTCGACAAGTGATTTCGTCGACAGGGTCTTTTCATTGACAGGGTCATTTCGCCGACAGAGTCATTCCGTCGACAGGGTCATTTCGTCGACAAGGTCATTTCATCGACAGGGTCATTTCGTCGACAAGGTCATATCTTCGGCAATTGATTTCGTCGACAGGGTCTTTTCATTGACAGGGTC